ACGGACACAATGACCAACAAGAAGGGAGACAAGACCGGAGACAAAGAGGCAGAAGGGAGACAAATGGTAATTTCCTGCCTCCCTGGTGCCCCCCTGGTGCCTCCCAGGCTGTCCAATTAGTCCTTTCCTGCCTTACTGGTGCCTCGCAGGCTGTCCAATTGGTCCTTTCCTGCCTCCTTGGTGGACACAAGAAGGGAGACAAGACCGGAGACAAAGAGGCAGAAGGGAGACAAGGTGGACACAATGACCAACAAGAAGGGGGACAACAAGGGAGACAAGAAGGTACAGAAGAAGGGAGACAAGACCGGAGACACAGGGAGACAGACACAGTGACCAACAAGAAGGGGGAGAAAACCGGAGACAAAAAGAAACAGAAGGAAGACAAGGCGGACACAATGACCAACAAGAAGGGAGAAAAGAAGGGAGCCAAATGGAAACAGAAGGGAGACAAGACGGACACAGTGACCACCAAGAAGGGAGACAAGACCGGAGACAAAGGGAGACAGAAGGTAGACAATGCGGACGCAATGAAGGAACACAAGAAGGCAGACACAAGGAAACTTGAGAGGAGGGAGACACGAAAGGTAGGACAGCGGGAAGAGAAGAGAACGCGAGAGGCAGGAACAAACATGCAATGTTCGACATGGTGATTTATCCCCTCGGAGGCGACCTTTCGTAAATATATGTTCATATGCACTCTAAATGTTTAAACATATGCTCTCGAAATGTTCAAAAAGATTCTTTGGAAAACAAACTTGCCCCATGGCTCAGATCATCGGTGAGCATTGAATCGGAGCATCATAGGATGTGAACTATCCTGAAACCATAAGAGGCTCACGAAGATCCCCAGGAGAGAATTGACGTGCTTCACAAAACAAACTCTAGGTATGTATCCCCTCGGGGAACACCTTTCGTGATTAGAATGTCATATGCACTCTTTCTGAATGTTCAAGAGGGTTTCAACTATTCTGAAATCATGAGAGGCTCACGAAGACGTTCTCCAGGAGAGAATTGAATTTAGGGGAGGGGGTCTGTATTGAAAAATCAATTCCAAGGGGGCGGGGGGGGGGGGGGG